CTAATTCCATGACATCACAAACTGTAGATATGTTTTTTTCCTTATAAACCCAAAGTTTTACCCTCGTTTATTTTTAAACCTACTCACTTTCTAAAAAGTATCTACCTATAAACCGAAAGTTTTGTAGCCATTTACTTTAAGGCTTACCAACCTCCTAAGTCCTTTTATATCCAACATATACACAGAATAATTAATTTTGGACATGCTTTATATTTTAGCAATTGGATCAGCGTACTTTGATATATTTTTTTAACTTGCTATATTTTTGTTCAAAGTAATTAGTCTATATATTGTATCTTTAAACCAAATTCTTAAACTACTATATTTTGTTTTTTTAAACATGTCGTGACATCACGCGGGTCAATTTTGCTCATTGATCTCTGAAAATACTAAGCTTTTGGTATTGAACTAATGCTATTTTTATAGTACAAGAGTCAAAAAATACGTTGTAGATTAGTGCTTGCCCTACTGGTGATATATATAATATATATATTATATATATATATATATATATAATATATATATATATATATATATATATATATATTATATATATACATACAATTCAGCTTAGAAAGCAAGCAATAGCAAACTAATGAGATTTGATTTCTTGGGCATGCATGCACATGCATATAATACTGTCTTATAATCCGATGAACTAGATTCGTTAAATGAGCAAAGTTTTAAATTGGTATGTTAGGGATGAGTAAAGGTTTGAATAGTCTAATTTTAATTTGTGATATTTGTGAAAATTGTAGGGCTAGTTGCAACTGAAAATTGGTAAATTCATAAATGATTAGTTAATTAAGATATCTCAGAGTAATAGAATTTGTGAAATTATAAGAGATGTGATCTACTATATCTAATTAAAGAAACCTCGACTGTCACAAGTCAATACCAAAATCTTCAAACCAACTCACTCATATAACATAGAAGGTGGAATATTGATGAAATAGGAATCAATTCATTATATCTGCATTATATTTGTGACAACTAATTTAGTTTATTTGGCTAAAATCCGATTAATTAATGTAGAATCTAGATGACCACACACATGGAATAGGTTGCTCTACTACATAAACAGTGCACAACAGAAAATAAAGCAGCTATAGCATGCGTCTAGTAATCATAAAACATTATTTGGGGATTATCGCATAGATTGTTTTTGTAGGATCACCATGTCCATCTTGATCAATGGTTGGAGGGTGACCACACTGTTGATATGGCGAGAAGTCCCTAAACATCACCCCACAACTAATGTCCACGAACTTGAACTAAAAAGGAGGTGACGATGCTATATACTTTTCAATGGGTATATATATGGAAGAATTAAATAACCCAGCCCCATTACATATTTTGTAACCGGCCCATTAAGGCTTGGTTTGGTAGAGGGCACGAGAAGGGGAAGTGAGGTAGGGTAAGGTGCAATGAACATACTTTTTGGGCTTTTTTTGGTTGGAGGGACAATGAGCATAGATACATAATTTTTTCTTGTTTGGTTGGAGGGATGAGAAGGGGAGATCTGGTGATGAGTTAGCTAAAGTACAATATTATCCTTCTATGTGGAGCATCTTTTGTTAAAAAAAAGACTAAAAAAATCTTATGTACACCTCTTGAATTATAGACACATTGTTCTTGAACCATCACATAAGTAATGTACAATGCCATAATCAAAATTTTACAGAATATTTTTAAAAAATGACCTAACATGAAACTCCAATTTAGTAGTGAACACTATTATTTTATTTTGAATTCAAGGTGCAACAAAGTAAAATTCAAACAAGAACAAATAATTCATAATAAAACAACTTCTTAAATCAATTGCAACCACACTTAACTGTATAAATTTTCTCATCTAAACAACTATTGAGGCCACTTAACCAGGAAAATCCATTGAATCTTGGGCAAGAAAATACTTGGACAATAAAGTAAAGTATATGAGAATGTAAAATTAATTTCAACCCAAAATACTCTCTCATGTCCTACCAAATTGGGGGTATTCATCAATCTGTGCATTTTAGTCCATTTTGAGTGTATCTCACCGCACCTCACATTTCGTTAAAAACCCTTAGCTAAAGAGTATTTTTATTTTTGTCTCTCACCTCTTCTTGCTTTCCCTTCTACCAAACTAAGCCTAAGGGGGTGTTTAGCAACTTGAAACTCAATTGAAAGTGTGGAAGTCACATTTTTTTATTTACAACTTTCAAATTCCATGTTAGCATGTGAGTGACATATAACGTTTGTTTGTTTAATAAAATTCATGTTGAAAGTAGAAAAGTGAAGATGTGGAAATACCATATTACTTTTTACATCTCAGAGAAATATTTTTATTGTTGTAAGTTTGATGCATTGATTATCTAGGTAACAACTCAGTACAAAAGTTGAATTTTGTGAAAATGTAAGAGATACATTGTTCAAAATAAATGATGAAGAGTTGAACAAGGGTTCTTATAAAATCATTAGAGAAAGAAAATTATAATCAGAAATGATAGGAGCTCAGTAGTAGAATTCAAAAGAGTTTTTAGAGATTTTCAAATTAAAATCATGAAAAATTAATAGAACTTTGAGATCTTATTAAGTTTCAGAAAAAGCGATTAATAGATTAAGGTGTCTAAAACTAAATTAAAGATATGAATCTATAAAGAAACGAACATGAAATCTACAATTTCGCCACTCCACTTTGTTGATTTTAATCCTACAAAAATGCGGAAGTTTTGTTGAAAAGTTAACAAAAAATGCAGATTTTTTGCCCATCCAATTTGTTGAGCTTGATCCTACAAAAATGGTGACCTTTTGTTGAAAAGAACAGTTAGATGCATTTATTGAAGGAATAAAAATTAACAATGAGAAAAATGAGGGGAAGACAATGGTATTAGATCAATGGAGGGAAAAATAAAGTCGGACGGTGTCAGAGAAGAGTGGCAGAGAAGAAACTGAAAAGAGGCGTTTCTATCATAGAGGAATGAAATCTGATATATTAGTAAATAAATATATTACTTTGATATGTAGTGATCCCCATTTTTCACTTTCATCTAATTTCTGCACTTTTTTAGGGGAAGCTGAACGTGCAACAGATCTGATGTGGACTATTTTTTGCATCACACTTTTGCGGTCACTTTCAATAAAACAAATACATGGAGTGCCAAAAGCAAGTCACTTTGTATTTTCACTTCTCACATACATGTAAACAAACAACCTATAAAGGACTGGTTGTAAGCTTTTATCCACATATTGGGTGGTCAAACCAACATTCAAATTTGGAAGTTCTACAAATACAAGACCAAGAAAGGAATAGGTACTCAATTTTGTAACTTAGAATTGAATTTTGTTGAATGAAGTTTTTAAACAGGAGACCTCGAAGTGGATGAGTAATGATAGCTGTAATACAATTATCATACTACTTTGGTCCTACCACAAATCAAAAAGTGGGGCCATGGTGACTCATCGCTTTCTTATTATAAATTTTAAGGATCCACTCATTTGTTAGTGGTAGTACAAAAGTAGTACAAGAATTATAGTATGGTTAACATTTTTCTGTAGTGGATATACCAACTAAAAGTGTGTCAATGGAATTGTATGTAGTTTTCTCCGTGAAGATTAATAAAGAAGAGTACTTCCGAAATTTTCCAAATAGTGTTTGAATGAATTATTGTACTTATTTTCATGTCCCTGTTAAGGTTTTAAATAACTCAGACGCTGAAAATCCATATTGGAGAGTGGATATCGGGGATATATTAGGGATAAGTAGTATTTATCGGAGTAACATTACCGGATGGTGATATACATAGTATAATATTTTAAAATGTAATTTAACCATACTTAATGAAACATAAATATACCAAAATGTAAATAATTATGTTTAGGATCACTATTATTAGTAGAAACTCTGGTTAGGTAAGGTTTAAAGTGCATTGAATAGGTGCCCATTGGCGCAAAATCAAAACCTAAACCAAAGGTTGATAATTCCGATTTTTTGGCCGATAACTCACTTTATAGCCGCATTATCGGCGATAAACATCCAAAAGCGATTACCGATTTAGAATCAAACTTATCATAGCGAAAGACCCCAAAACAAATAACTCGCCCATAATATCAGTCTATCGGCCGATATTTGAAACATTGGTCCCTGTGTATTCACATGGTTCACATAATTGCCACTTCAAACATTATCCATATACTCAAAAATGGTATATAGTTGGAAATGATGAGACTCATATTGTTTAGTATTCCACAGAATAATATGTTTAATAGTGCCATAAAAATTGGAAACTTATCCGAGGAAACATCTGTGTAGCTAAGGAGTTGTTCATAAATTTTAGATACTCAGCATAGATTGTTCATAACTTCTAGAAACTTTCGCGAATTTTCGTTTATGCTAATTGCTGCAGATTTTTCCTTTAATAACACCAAGATGGCATTAATATGGGATGGAAATGGTTGTTTTTATCAATTTTCACTGATATTATGTGAATCATACAGATTATTCAGATAAAATGTAATTCTCAATTGTTTGACAATATGCTGGGCAATGTTTCCCCCACTATTTTTTCATAACATGATTTGTTTTAATAACATATATTAGTTTCTTATGATTTTTTCAACTTAAAGCTAATTATTATGTAAGGTTGTTTTATTAGTCAAAAGGTCACGTGCGAAAAGACACCTTTTTGAATGAATGATTTGATAGTGGTAACAAAGCAAATTATGCATAATAATAAAGTAACTTTCAATTCACTCAAAAAAAAAAAAAAAGTTAAAGGGTAGTTTCATACATAAAGCGATAAAAGTTCGTGATATTCTTTTTTTAGGCTCATAGGACATGTAAAACAAAAAAGAAAGCTAAAGGCCGTAAAAGAATAAAAAATATGTAGCAAGAAAGATTCATTTCTGCAACGCCTGATGTGGTATATTTAGGAAAATATGTCCTGATTGCTTTATGGGCTATTAATCGTTTGTGTTTTAAGTACTAAATTAGATATTGATGGTGATTATTTTTTCAGAGTTGTGCTTGACGATGGGATACGAAAATTTATGCAGAGAGCTTGCAGTGGGAAGGAGACCCTCCAAGTGTTTAGATAAGCGAATTTCTGAATCTCATGTTGTATTTCAGGTTTGTGTGATGTATCCTAGCTTTTAGCACCATATAATATTGAATAATTAATAATAGGAGTGCTCTCATTGACTTAATTTTTATCATCTTTCACCCTTTGTAATTCCGTTCTTTTTTCTCAAGAAAGTAATGCAGATATACACTTTCTTCTTCTTCTTCTTCTTTCTTCTTTCTTTCAAGGGTTATATGATTAGTTCTTCACCATCTTTATATCTTCCTACACCTGTGTACTTCATTTCACTGATGGGAGAAACCATAGTTTAAAGTTTTCTCCTTGTAATTTGTCCATTTATCTGTAAATGTATCAGCGTCTTATAATCACTCTTTGCTGTTATTATCTACTTATTTTAGCGTAGATTATGGTACAAAAGAGGGAATGATTATACGCACACACATTCATTTATAACTTCGCTTCCTATTTTATTATTATCTACATTTTCATAAAAAAATTAACCTCCCAAAAAAAAAGAAGAAAAACACTTCGAAATTTTCCCTCCAATGTTCCATCCTTCTAGCTGCTATTGTACCCAGTCCTCAAGTTAAGCCTCCTCAACCAAACCGAGTGCAAAATCATATGAAAAGTATCAAACCTCTCCGCTGGCCTATTCAAAAGGAAATGCCTCCTCACCGCTCTCACCCCCTCCCTCAACCTCGCCAGCCTCTTCTCACTTACCGCCATGAGTATCTCCTTCAACCTCGGTATCTCCTCAACATGGACACTTACTGAGAATTCCTCCCACCGTAGCACATCGCTAAACGGCGGGTAGTACCCCTCAGATATCAGCACAGGCACGCACTCGGCATATATTGCCTCCGCTACCCTTGGGCTCGCCACCTCATACCCGCTTGGGCACAGACAGAATTTTGATTTCAGCATGAAATCGGTGAAGTAGTTGACGTTGGGCGGGAGATAGCGGTGGACCTGGAGTTCTGGGTCAGTGCTGTTTTCCCAGTGGCGGAGGAGGACGGGGCGGATGGGACCATGGAGGCCGCCAGCGAAGAAGGCGAGGATAGGGCGGTAGGTGGACGGAGGGGGAGGGTGGCGGACCTGAGGGGGGATGTCTCCTGTAAGGAGGTGGATCTCGGGGATGCTGACGTCTTTGTGGGGACGGAAGCCTTCGGAGGTGTTGGCGTTGCAAAGAGCTCGGATGGAGTTGTTGAAGAGGTCCGGATTTCCTGAGCTTGCGCTTGGACCCTGTCACGTCATTGAAACCTGATCAGTTTTTTAGTTGTTAACGAGTAGAAACTATGCACATAACTTAAAACTCATTTTTCTCTATAAAAAAAAATTAACCGTGATTACGTTTAAGTTTTTAATTGTTAGGGAGTTGGAATTGGCTAATGAGGTGGTGAACGGTAGGGGCGAGTTTGTTAAAGAGTCACGAGTCCATGCGATATGTATGTGAGGTTCACGACAGAAATTTCTATAGTTAACCTCACGTCTCCTATAAATATTTACCAGTATTATCTCTGGTATTTTGTTGTTAGGGTATTGATAAGAGCGTGCTTTCAAAAAATTAGTAAGTGTAACAATTAAACGAGGTGAACGTTAGGGCCGGACAAGTTCATTGAAAAGTTACAAGTTGGTCCGCTCCTTGTGAGTGGATTCCGTTCATATAACCTTAGCAACTTCATAATCCTCCGCCAATATTTGACTTGGGCTAAAATTTCACTTTTAGTTCAAGTTAGATTATAACCGTCCGTTAAATTATTGACAATTCTATATACGTTTAAGCACAAAAGCAGAAAGCATGGCGATTACGACTGACCCAGTCGTGGCAAGAGAGCATAAAATGGTCAGCCCCGGCGGTCCGGTTCCAGTACGGATGCCTCGATGCCACTATGTCGACGTAGTCCGTCACGAACCGCCGGATATCCAGGTGGTTGTGGGTCCCGGCGTC